GGTAAGGAGGAAAATCAAACCATGAAATGCATTCATTCCATAATTTCGTCATCCTTTTATATATTCTCTATTGCTATAGAGTGATTAGATGGATAAAGATTTCAGACGACATTGGCTAAACAGCATTCAGCAGTTAGTAACCTAGACCAGACTATACTAAACTGTAGTCCGAATTTATACATCATGTTATCTCGTTGTAGTGATGGCGTAATTTTGTTGTAGTGCCGTTAGATGAATTCGAATTAGCATACCATGTTATACTAATCAAGACAGTCATCATCTCTGTAAAGATATTAGTACCTGAGGTGTGAGATTATCCTGAATCTTCCTCTTGAATAATATATGAAGTGTATTTCCCGATTCTGTATTGCATTATTTGGATAAATAATTAGTCAGTAAGTTTCGATGGCCATTTATCATTTCGGGTTACGAAGGTACATGCGTCAGACTATATGTCCCAGGTTCCTGATCCTGCGCCAACATTTGAATTTCGTTAGAAGATAGCTCAGTCTTAAACTTGCTGCAGATTATTCTTGGCCGTCCATAGGATTTTGGGCCAGTCGCCCTCTTCATTTCTGGAGGTGTTCACAAGACATACTCAGACTATTGCAGCTGCGACTTCTCAGTCTGATGAAACAGTCTAAGGTTCTCTCGGATATCTGTGATCCCGACCATATCCAGAGGCGTCAGCGAAGCGATGCTTCTGACGAAACCCATTTCTTCAGTTGGACATGGAAGTATTTCAGTCGTGGCTCACAATTCATGCCCGTAGATGAATGTCGACATAAAGATCGATTTGAACAAAGAGAGCACATCATTCTTTGCCCAACGGTTAGCGAAGTGATACTCTGTTCTCCAGTCTCTTTTGGTAATGCTGCTGTTCTCTTTTCCGAAGCTTTCTGTCGTGCTATGGCCAAAAAAGGCAGAGATTGCATCATGAGAGCTTACGCATTAAAATACGGATATGATTTTCGATCATTAAGTCTGAATGCCGTTGCTGGTCCCAAGCCCGAATGAGAAAGAAGCAGGGTTGGAGACTGAGGCGAAGTCTCCAAATAACTTAGTCACCTGTCCATCATGATGTTGCCGACATTGAAAATTATGCCTGCTTGGCCGTCGCTCGGGTTACCAAGAGCCGCGCAGGCTCTCGAAAGCCAGCCATCAGAGCGGCTCGTCCCTTTTTGGCAGCCGGCAGCATGGCACCACTAAAGCAGCTGTCGAAAATCGACGAAACTACAATAAAGATACTAGTCAGCAACGCAGTCGCTACCCTTTCTGAACCGAGGAGGCAGAAAGCGAGATGCCGTTATAGCACGCCATAAAAGGCTCCCGGAAACGACAACGAGATGTGGGAGCTTATACTCGGAAGTTAGAATATATCCTCACTCATTGGGAAAGAATAGGAATTAAATGATGAGGCTATAGGGTACCAACTCCACAGAGTTGGACTCTCGACAACAAAGCTCCAAGACTCTCGAATCCTTAACCTCTGCCTGTGGAAGCTACTCTGCCGATCTCAACAATAACAGTACGAACTTACTGCAATTTTGTACAAAAGACGGACTGTCGATTATTAACATCTTCAAGCATCGAAGTTTGTAGCATTTGACCTGGTAAAGGAAGGTTGTTCATAGAAGGTGGGTAATCGTAATGTCTGACTTACGATGCTCTTTAATGGATGTTCTCGTTAAGAGATGCACAGAGCTGTCACTTGATCGCCATCTTGTTTTTGGCACGCTGCGCTGAAGAAATGGAGTACCATACGAAGATGTGGTGGCGGAAATAGCCGGAGAATCAGATGGGAAACATTATCTTCGTTAGACACGAGAGCGAAATTTGCAAACAATCTCGCACGACGGTTTGAACAGATCTCGGTGATGAACACTGAAGTAGAAATCCAATGGCAGATCTTTAAGAGCGGCATGTTCGAGGCTGCTCCCGAATGATGCGGATTTAAACGGGTTGGCCTGCCGCCTGGAGGTCAGAAAAGATCTTCATGGTGGACACGAGAAGTGCAGCTGGCAGTTGAAGAAAAGGTTGCGTTCAAGAAATGGCTTTGAAACAGAACGCTTACAACTCGCAAGACGGCTGATTCAGCAGTAGCAAAAGCCAAAGCTGATTCTTGAAAGAAGTTCGGTGAGGTGTTGGAGTCGAGTTTCACACGGCAAACAAGTTATTCTGGCAGACCATCCGCTGGCTCCAAGGTAAAAAGCAGGGCAGTCTAAGAGTCTTGTAAAACTGGTCTAAACACCCTCTTACTGAAGATAAGAACATTCTTCAGCAATGGAGAGAGTTCTTTGAGGAGCCCTTTAACCCTGAGCATCCGCAAGAGGACTTGCCTGTAGATCAGCAAGGAATCAATATTACTCTCTCTATAGATAAAATTACACAAGCTGTGAAAAACCTGAAAAGTGGAAAGTCTGCTGGAATTGATGAAATGCGAAAGAAATGATCACAGCATTAGGCGAACAATGCATGTGCTGGCTTACACGTATCTGTCAAATTGCAGTGGCCACGGGGAAGAAACCAGTGGACTGAAGAACGGGGGTTGTTGTAGTTCTGTTTAAAAGGGTGAGTGCTTAAATTTTCGGGGCATTATCTTATGGAGACCTCCAGGTAGAGTCTACGCAAAGTCCTAGAAAGGCGGTACTGCGGAATATCTCACTCCAAGATACAAGAACAGAAGTGTGGCTGCCGGCGCGGTCGTAGCACATCTCACCCAGAAAAAGCCTATGACCGGATCCAGCGTCAAGTCTGCGAATATGGAATCGATGACTAGTTACTATAGCCATCCAGTGACTATATGCTGATAGCAGGTGCAGCGTCAGAGTAAATGGCTTAAAGTCGAGTTCCTTCAGCTTTGGCACTGGTTCAAAGCTGCGTTCTCTCCATTCTCGTGTTTGTGTTGTACATGGATAAGATTGCGAGGGACAGCCAAGGCGATGAGATTATCGATGTAGGAGATGTCGAGGCAAGAAGGTTCAATTTGCAGACGACCTTCGGTTGTCTTAAAGGTTCGCCCAGAGGCAGGTGCGACGTGCCAGAATGAATGGTGTAGTGCTTTCCAGTTGTCCTGCATGTTGTTATTTTCAGATATACCGAGAAGCAGTGGAGCAGCTGGAGAAATTCAGGTACCTCGCGGTCGTGTTTATTTGTGATGGAAAATTTGAGGAAGAGATCGATGAGCGGATTGGAGTCGTCAGTGGTGTTCTGCATGAACTACCCCGACCCGTTGTGATTAAAGCAGAGCTCAGTCTGAAAACTAAGCTCTCATTCTTCAAGTCGATCTTCATTCCATGCTTACCTGCGATCATGAGTCGTAGAACTTGACTGAAATGTTTCGATCCCGTGTACAAGCGGCTGATATAAGCTTTGTGAGACGATTTGCTGGCCTTACGCCTCTGGTCATGATCCTCAATACAGAAAGCCGAGAGAGCGTTGGTTTACAGCCGCTGGTTCGTCAAATCGAGAGCTCGGTTATGATGGTCAGGACATGTATTGCGAATAACTCCAGAAAGGAAGGCGAAGCAATTTTATCTTGCTCAGCCGATCGGCAAAAGGCCCAGGGAATGGCGAAGGTTAACTTGGGGGAAATGTATGGAAGAAGTTTGCTGTAGACTTTGGTTGTGTTCTACTGAAGCTGAGAGTTTAGACAGGATTGGAAACGTTGGAAACATTGTGTGACGTATTTGCCTCAGCGATCTGAAATTAGAATCTGTCATGGAAGGCGAAGAAGTCTGAATGCTTGTTGTTCTAAGAGCTTATTGATTTTTACGATTTCCATATAGGCAATGCGGATAAAAAGTGAGCTCGGTGATTTTAACCGTCGCGGCCTGGTTGCAGTACTTTGTCTGCACTCTTAATTTATTAATTCATTTCACACGTAGACCAATATCCCTGTGTATTAGTCACAGAATCTATCTCTGTGTCTTTGTAACGTCAGTAGTGCATATAGTTCTGTAGCTGCTCCTGGGATTTATCATTAACTGGAAATCGCATTATTCTTCAGTCGTTGCTAATGGTTTGCGTCTGTAAATAGTTTTCATTTTTATCGTGAAAGCAGGTTTTGGTGGCTTAATGACGTTTGCTTTAAGGAACTGATTGAAGTTCTATCGATTGTAATTTCTTCGAGGACTAAGCTCTTCGTCTCGCCGGTGGTACTTGATCAGCGTGAACCACATTGGCAGTGCAACTCAGTAAAGTAATTAATCAGTCAGCCGTTGCGGCCAGCAGTTTGATTTAATTTTTCCTTTAAATGCGGCCCTAAAAGTCTAAAAGTCAGCGCTGTGACCTCAGTAGCGTTTAAGACTATGCGTTATAACCATTTGATCTACCTCGCAACTTTCAACTGATAAATTTTCATTTCTGACCGACGGTTAGATGTGACATCGCTCGGATGTATTAATTATAATAATAGAGGGTAAGCGTCTAACATGCACATTTTACTTACATGATCATTAGTCATTAGCATAAAATTGTTCATAAATGTGAATTTGATGTCCGCAGTACAGATAGACGAGAAAAGCGTTAAAAGCGCATTCATGAACGAAAGCAATCTAAAGGTTTAATTCCAACTCGAGAGATGCCGGTTCAGATCTCTGAAAATGAATATCGTAGTCGCTAGTTCGCTTGAAAAATTCCTTGAGAAGTTCACCCCACATTGCTTTTGCAGAGCCAGCCGAAAAATGTGTTACGAATCGTTGACTTGCGAACAACAAGAACAGCAGCATATTCCAGTAGGTCATGTGAAAGCGTGTGATGGATGCGGCGATTTTGTGTGATGGGAACCTGTATTAGAGAGGCAATTCGTCTTGACTAACTTGATTGCTGATAGCTGATAATCCAGTGTGATAATCAGCATGAAGTGTAAATCGAACAAGGCAATGGAACAGAGTGATAAACTGGTTGCAAAAACGACTTGCTCGCTTCTTTTACTACTCATGCTCTTCCGTTCCACGAAAAACGATATGCAGCATATTTGAAATTTTTCATTTCGATCGCTTCATTATTCAGACAAGCATTTCATGTGTTGTTGCCTAACCATTGCAGACATGAAACTGCTTTTGGCAGTTTTTAAATTGCCGCGTGTTAAAAGTAGTCTCGAATTATGTGATCTGTGCAACAGCATGCTACCGTTGTTTCCACCTGTCGCTCAAAGCGATTCGATTTCGAACTTAGTTGTCGTTTTTGCTAGTCGTCAGTTGTGTGTGCTTGAGAATGACAGGTCTTTGCTACTTCGAGGTACTTTACTTGTAAACATCTGTTCCATCTCGTTGCGAACACAGCACAGAATTACATGTTAAAAATGTCTAACATGTGTCTTGGGGAAGTTTTTGCCGCGCTAAAGATGCTGAGAGCAAACGATTAGACATTTTCGAAGACTGTTTAGTCTGGAATGGTTAACAGTGATAGAAATAAAAGTGACTGTTTATCGATGAATGATAAGAGACTATATACAGTAGTTATATAGTTTTTGCATTTTCGATAGTTATCGCTTTCATTTTCCGCATTTTCTCTTCCTATTTATTTTCGTTCGCTTCTGTTACTCGTTCTTATCCTTCAGCGGCGGTTATCTCACAATTTCCATTTAATTTAATTATGAGAGGATCGGAGAATATGTGAATAATAATGCTCAGCCATGCATTTTATATCTATCATTGAGATCATCGTTTTATAAAGCATATTTCTTCGTCACATAAGCGATTCAAAATGTTGTCGAGCTTGCCCTTCTTGAAATTGGCGCAGTAACTAGTGTTACAAACCTATGCTGTTTTCTATCGATAAATGATAAGACATTCAAAATAGGAAATTCATGTTTCAACTAATTTTTAATTTTCATGTTTCTTTGGGAGTGGTAGGACATCTGTATTAGCGAATATGAATGAGACATGAGTGCGTTATCAGGTGTATTTTCATTTATTAGTGTGTGCACCACGAAAGCAAACCGATGCTCTTCAAATATTTTGTTTTCTCCATTTCCTGCCTCAGTCATTGGCCAGCTAATTTTACCAACTGATCGTCCCACGGTGTTCTTGATCGACCGAGTAAAAGGAAATTTCTTCGCATAGCCCAGTTTATAGTTCTCCATGTGCATCGGTTGTATCTCAGGCGAGCCATATGGCGACTCATCGTCTCTTTACATCGAAGCAGGTAGAAATCACGTCCGTTAATCGAGTGCGTTGTCGAATTTGTGCGCTCAGAAGGTGATTACAGAAGTAGACTTATAAAACTTTTTTCTATCAGTCCCCCCATGCATGACTATCAGTTAGTTCTCATCGGTTTCAGTAGTGTACCAACATTCAGAGTCAGCCGCTGATAATGGCCTGTAAAACGTTAGAACAGAATAGAACGGAAGGTTCTTTGCCAGCATGGACAACTCATTGTGTCGTAACGATGAAATGTAGCCAGTAAAATTTTGTTTCGAATTCCCTTTTGCTGATTTTCCACAGATCCATAATTTCACAGTTTTCGACAAATTCACATTTCCTATGAAATGATTTAACTATCGAACAACTGATTGAGTACTGGAAATAGTATTTTCTAGAATTTTTCTTAAATTCATCGCGAATGCTGCACTATGACTAAGGGCTTTACTATCTGCGTTAATGTTTCTGTCATTTTCTCTTGTGAGTAACTGTCAAACCATAATTAGATCTTTTTACTATTGCTGCTACATTGACATCGTTTTACAATTACGATCATGGATCATAAATTCTCTGTTTGTTTGAAATCTGTAAGGAGGATAAACATAATGTTATCTCTCAAAGGAGAGCGAAATGATTCGTTGCAACTACTCAATATATCGACAAACACTGTTTGCCCTAGCGATTTAACAACTAACGTTAATGACGCCGAGAATATCTAGGTCTTTGTATGCACTCCGTCCGCTACAACACGCAATCACTTCATCTTCATCTTCTTCATCTTCCATCGCCGCTTCTCCTTTCGGGTCGCGGAGGCAGACGCGCCAGAC